TTTAGTTATAGTTAAAGGAAAAAAGGACCGGAACAATCCCTCTTGTTCCGGGGGGAGAGGGGTACTCCTGTAAATTTCCTATAAGTGTGTACCGAGAAGGGCCTTAAACCCTGGCCTTATGTAAGGATGAAGCAAATGAAAACTGATGCCCTTTTAAGGCCTAAACCCGAAAAAATGACACTTTAAGCTGATGATAAATTGATGCGTCTCCACAATCCAGTCTCGGTGAACGCGCGCGCGAAAGGTAAGCATTTATTGACGTTTCTGGCGTCGCTTTTGTGAATATTCAACTGAAATTATTCTCCAAAAATGAAGATGAAAGATTTCTACTCGACAAAACACTGTTTATATTTTGGGAACCAATCAGTATTTTTCTTTTAATCGGGGACCAGTTCAGCCGTATAATAAAGCCACCCTATCTAAGGATCATACTGGTAACACAATGCCAATAGGGAAAAAATGATAGCCTATTTAGGAATTGAAAACTTCAAAAACTATACCCTATCCCGCGGCAGATACCTACAAAGTCCATGTATGGAAGCAACCCTCCCCCAAGCTCTTGCTACTTCGAAACACCACATGACGGCATAGTGCTTAGTCAACCCAGACAAAGGCGACTGGTAAGGTCTTCCGTGTCCACATCCAATAGTTCTTGCATTTCCTGATTAGAACGTAATGTGTGTACATCACCGGCTTACAGTGGAAGTTACAACCTGGACACCTGGCAGCGGTCAAAAACCTGGGAACTGTCTCCGCGTAGTCGATGACGTTAAATGTGAATGGGCATCTGGGAGTACTCCACTTGGCTGAAGCACCAACGTTTCTTGTTTTCCTACTAGTCGGTGGATTCGACTTTGGTACGATCAAGTAATGGTGGCGGTTAATGAAGCGAAGCACATCGTAAGATGATACATTTGCTTGCTGTGGTACGCCCATCTGAAGACAGTTGGCTAAACCTTGAAGTCTCCTGTTGCGACGTTCTTTTTTCAAAGAGAAACCGAAGGAGATGAGAAAAAACCCCAAAACAACCTGCGAAAATTGAATGACGTAATATTAAAACTCGTTCTACGGTCACTTATCCCTTTTAAGGGATAAACTAAATTTAAAGTAATAACTCAAAAGTTATTACTTTTACTGCGTCGACGGTTCTCAAGCAACGGACCTTGTTGGCTATCTGTTATCTCGTTTCTTACTAGGCTAGATTTCCGCCGCTTTCTCGAGTCCGGTCTACGGCTGGTAATCATTGTGCCTGGTGTCATATCATACGTGCGGGAATAATTGTTAACTGCATGTTTCATATATTTTGTGGCCCAGGAAAAGGGTCAATTCACACCGCGAAAAGGTTGGCTCATATCTGTCAACATTCTCTCGCATAGACACAAGTACACACTGTATACCTATTTTTTTCTTTTTCAATTCATCACAGTCTCCCAGTATGTATGTGTCATTTTAAATCCAAAAACGGATTTCGCGTTTCCTTACTAAACAGATTAATCCAAGATCACTCGGATCATGGTGCATCAAAGGAACCGAAGAATCCAGTCTAGGCAAGGATTAGTATTCAATTAGGGGACTTAAGATTTGAATACGAGAACGAAAACCAGTAGGTCATAGTGAGAGTAGGACCCCCGAGGGGGGATTTCCCTACCCTATTTATGACCGTCGCGGCTGGCACAATTGCCCCAAACTGACATAGTTTATGAAAAGCTATTGTTGATGGTGTTATCGATAAAGATGAAAAAGTAGCTCCTTCTAAAAACATACCCAAGACTTCAGTGCTAAAATCATGCCCTATTTATATTATGGCCAAAATCGATGCCCTATTTATGACCAAAACGGCGGGAAAACCATACCCTTTAAGGCCGCACATACCTACATAGCCCATACAAGGGAGTATCCCCCCCAGGAGTAGGACTTTTCAATGCTAGTTTTCCACATTTACACGTAACACGAAATTTTGTCCGGTTGCTAAGACATTTGCAAAAAAACAGTATCGGGTATTTATGTTTTTCGCGCTAGATCTCCCGCAATGCAATAACCTTCGACGTAACGTATCGTTAAATTTTTGATAACCAGTTTCGACAGAGAAATTGTATAGCATCCAATAAGAATGTTGATAAAGCCTGACAAGGTTTTGTAGAATAGGAGGAGGGTTCGGAGAATTCGAGACAGTTATGCAAACCCTCGACTACGTCTCGGGTTTTCACAACTTTCGAGAATTCTCCCAACCCCCGAGTGTTTAAACACGGAAAAAGTGTTCTATTGCTTTTATAAAATAATTCTCAAAAATACGCGCGAAGCGAAAACGTCCCAACCGTGTTTACATACTCTCATCAAAACACACCTATCGACCACGGAGAGCGCGCGTAGTAGCTCAGTTATTTTATAAAATGCAGTAGTTTGTTTGTGCGGCCAAATTCGATATGATAGCCGATAATAAATTTCGCTGGAAGCAACATGGGTCGTTTGGATTTCTAGGCCGCTGTTTTCTTACAATTGGATAAAACTGGAGCAAGATGTTTTATAGTCCTTTTGATAAGCTTTACATTGTCAGTGCAACTGACAAATTTTTTAGCTAAAGACACTCGGCAGGTCTCGCTGAAATTAGTCACGGATATACTATAAACAATACGCTATTTCCAATATCGAAACACAGAGAAGTTTGCTGAGCTTGAAGACAAAATGTCTCGGTTTTGAAGATAGGGTGCAGAGAATTAACTGAAATTTCAAAAAGTAACTATATGCGGCGTCGGAGGAGAAGAAAAGAACACAAGTAGCATGGCTGAAATTAGCAGCCGCTCTACATAGTACAATTAGTTCACATGTATCATAAAACAAAACTCACCAAATGAAAAGATTTGAACATTGTCCTCTTGATCAGCTGGTCTGATTCCTGCTCTAAATTTCTGGTGGAATCATTCCGTGTTGCAGTTGACCTTATCGTTCGATAGTCAGCGAACACAGACAACGTTAACACAGACGGATTTCCGGCTTATTTCATTTGTCTCAGGCGTGGAACAAAAGCCGGAAGTCCGTCCGTTTTGGCGGGCTGGTCGTTGCAGAAAACCATCAGCCTCGTTCCCAAGGTCCTCTCTGGCCTTCGACGGTGGGACGGGACTCTAGGAACGAGGTTGGAAGGGAGACGACCCTGGGAACGAGGTTGGGTAACCGTTCCAGGCGCGAAACAATAGCGTGACGTAATAATATGGCGGTTGTCAACTTTTCCCGAGCCTGGACTCTACTTGAGTTCTGGATTTGCCAGGGTGCGTTAATTAGTGACACAGCAATGGCAAAGAAGCCAGTTAGAAGGCGTTATGCGTGGTGGTGTGGAAAATGGCGGCGAATTTGTGCGGACATGAGCTTTTGCCATCGAGATGTGATTTAGTTCAAATTCTGTTGTCTTCTTTATGGTGTGATCAGCTTCAATATACTGTGTCTCTCATTTTAAAAAAAGTTATGGCCTTGCAAAAAATTCAGAGGCGTTCTACTCAAATCTAGATTCTTTGCGCCAAATCTGAGCGATGGGCCGCTATTTGGGTGGACGGGCCGCGTTTTTGCATAGTCAAAATAAAGGGACGTCGAAAATGTACTAATACTGCGATGGCAGAACTACATGTCTTTGAGAAGATTTTTCTCCCAACGTCTCTTTAAATTCTTAGGCATAATACAGCACATTACAAAATAAATGCCGATCAATCTACGCATCGAGAACAAGGTAAAAATTACTGGTCGTGCTGCTCGAATGCTTCATCTTAAACTCATCTTTTTATGCCGGCGTGAATCTGCTGGCTTGATGAACACCGATAAATTTTCCCAGCAATCTCCATGTGCCATTTTGACTCTCCCTCATACAAATTTCTCTACTGGGGCGATCATGGCCTCGCTGCCAACCAACTCCCCCCGCCCCCCGGCTTCCTTCACTGGTCGTCATGATTGGTCCCAAACGTGCACTGAATATTCAACGAGGTGAAAACTAGAACAGTCTCTCACTATTAGTTTTGATTTCGTGAGGCACAAACTGCATGCGCGTGGAAGCGTAACTACCGGCCATGGATGTCATATTTTATTCTCAGTTGAAAACCTAAGTTACAAACATTATTTTTCTCTGATGTAGTTACAGTTATGTTTAGTCTGGCGTATAAGCACGCGTTTTTGGGCGGGAATCTTCTTCAATTCTCCAAATCACTCCAAGATTTACTAGTTCTTATTATTCAATCAAAGCATAGTGCCAATTTTTTTTCTTTTTTGTTGCTTAGCAACTAAGTGATTGAAATTGCAGGATCCGCCACTTCGCAGAGGCCTGAGAGATTTCACCTTCACTATTTCTTACTTCCTTGAAACCAGAAGAAAACTGCGACTACCCCTCATCCCGAAGTGGCCTGTGGGACCGTTGCTAAGGGATAGTGGGGCATCCGGCTTCTCCCCAGTAACGGGCCTATGAGCGACAACAGGATGCTTATCAGATTTGTTCCCGTTTCTAAAACGGTGCATAACAGCAAAAGCTATATATGGATACATATCATTAAGATAAAACTGCCACCTTGAGGCGGAGCTTACATCAATGCCACAATAATGTCAAATGAATATACATGATTCTATATAAAACCAAGAGAAGATCAAGGTAAGAGAGTGAATTCCCTATATAGGCCTTTGATACTCAAGATAATCCCTCCTAAGCTCCTCCTTTTAGTCGCCATATTTCCCGACATTTCGTCTCGTTTCTCATTCTCGTTTCCAGAAAGTCGCTTGGGATGTCCACGCATCGCGCGGGAAGCATCCTCAGAAGAACTGGGTACCATGTCTAAAAGTAACCTAAGAGGGATTACCATGGGTATATAGCCTATATGGGGGAATCACTCTTACTTTGATCTTCTCTTGACAAAACACACTAAGTCGAATACCTAAATTCTCCATCCCCACCCTGGTGAACAAAAATCTCGTACAATAAGGGAGGGAAGGACGGGAAAACGAAGAGATTATTCATAAGGAGTAAGAATATCAACTGCAGCCAGAATGCACTGCCTAGCGATGGATATTTGACGATCCACTTCGTCTTCGTCTCCAGTTTCATCCAGCTTGAACAGGATGTCGCTCACACCAGGAAAGCTGGAAGAGCCATACAGATTGTACTTGCTGGGTGCGAAGATCACGTGACGGACCAGACGCCTTCCCGGCAGGCCATAGGAGTAGATGAATGCTCTTTCCATTTTGATCATTTGGTCATTGACCCGGCGCAGTTCTTCAAAACTCGTCACCTCGAAGTCTTCGAGTTTCTTCTGGATTTTAGCTCTGAAATAGTAGCAAGGAAGAAGCTTTGTTAAAGAGCTAAGTCGTGGTATTTTGAATTATTTTGGCCCATAGAGAATAACCTTTAAATTGAAGTAAGACTGAAAATAATAGTTTACCAAGATAGAAAAACACCAAAGAGATAATAATAAACCATAAAGGAACAAGGATGGTTAAGGATGGAGAAGTTTGACACGGATTACAAATGACGAACTTGAAAGATGTGAAAACCGTGAAGAAGCTCGAAAAGTAAAGGTGAATGATTTATTTGGAGTATTTGGAAATCGATTTGTTATAATAACAGGGAAACGTCCGAAACGTCAGCTGCTTGATCTAAATTAGGAGGTTAGAACTTGCTTCCATCTATCAAACTGTGTTTGACACCTTAGTGACTTTTACACAAAGGAGTTACTGTTTATGCAAGAGCGCTGTGGTTAACCATTTTTAGCACTGTGCTTGGCCTAAGTAATGAATAAACATTCCGTTTTCTTTTTTGTTTCGTTTTCTTTCGTTGTCTAAAAATTCTGTTCATGTAATTGTGAGTGAAAGAGAAAAGTCAGTTTGATAGATGGAAATAGGTGACAACCAAAACACTCAAAAGATGGTAAATTCACCCAATCAGCAGATTCAGTTCAAAATACAGCGTTACGGTCAAGCATCACGCAATCAATCTTCGCCATTGGCGAATGGGAAATTGAGTGACGGGCCAAAAAAACAAAAACCTACTCTGAACGGTTGTAATCAAGAGCCCATTTTCATCTGGAATGATTATACAAGATATCTTGGGCATACCTAGTAGCCGTAAAGCTATTTGCCGTCTCCTGGAACAGTTTAACAGCGTCCTCTAAGAAGCCGATAGATTTAGCATGACTCTGTAGCTTCTCCTTGTAAGACTTCTTCAGAGTATCCAGTGATCTGGTCAAGGCTTCCGCGTACAGCGTGACGCTCATTGGCAACAGCGGCATATCAGCAAACTGGAGCAAGAGTCCTCCGGTGAGTTGCGTGACAGCCTTGTGCAACGTGAAATCGGGATCAACGAACTTCGTGGTCCAATTAAAGGTATCGTGTTGAGAGTGGTAGACTGGGTAGAAAATCGGCGTGTTGTTGTAGCCAAATATGTAGTAGAAGTCCGCTGACGGAACACCTATAAACTGGTAGAAAGGGGCGTAGTCGCTTCCGGAACCTAGGTTGCTCACAGCAGGTTTAGAAGGATCCGTTTTGGAAGGGTTTCTTTCGAGCATGATGTCGAATATGGTTTCCTTGTCGTCATGGGCGTTTGGATCCATCACGGTTTTGCTGAAATCCAATATAGTGTCTCTGACCAGCGGACTGCCGCCAGTCATGAGGACGTATTTACCAGAGACGATTGTGTCAGCGTTAAGGTAAACTACAGCTCGTTCTGTCAGTTCTTTTTCATGTTGTTCAACCCATTCTGTTGATCCGATGAGGCTGTATTCCTCTCCTCCCCAGCTGCAAATCTGATGAACAAAAACGAAATATTTAATCGTATTGTTGTCTTCAGATTTAGCCCCCGGAGGGGTTGGAGCGCCCATATTATAGGCCGGTGGGGATAATGGTGAGAAAATTTGGAAAGAAACTTTGCCAAAAGCTGTTTGTAGACTTGTCTGTATGATGACGTCAACAAAATTACGTCTCGGTTTGTCCTTTAATTCCTAGCCTGTGAACCGCTATCCCCACCCCATTACCCCCTCGGCCCTTCCAGCCGAGTTCAGACCCTTCCCAGCCGGAGCCTGTTCACAGGCTACTTAGTTCCATTACCGCCCTGGGTACCAGAGGATTTTTCTCGCGCGCGGCGGACGGAAATACTTCGCAGATATGTCCAGGATTGAACACTAATGAGATTCAAATTCCTTATGATAAGCATAACAAAGTGTTCTCATTGGTGAAAAGTCACCAAAACTCACACAATTCTGTCAAACATGAAGTAATATGAAAATGTCAAATAACCCTGCCAAATATGAAGTACTAATTAAACAATACTGGCGTTCAATCCTGGACATAAGTGTGCTCCCGTCACAAGTAGTCAGCCATATCCTTTTTTTTTCTACCCGAAAATTATCAACTTATGGAGTTCCTTTTGTTTTATGGAAAAATAACACAATTTAAAACGACATCGACTAAAAAAGTTCCTCGAGTCGTTGTCTTCAAGGTCATAATTTGCATCCTCGAGTGATGGTTTTGTGCCGGCGCTTTTAGCAATATCTTTTTTTCTTTCCTGACATTTTTTTTTTTAAAAAAAACGTTTTTTAACTCAAAGAGGATAATTTAAAAACCATAATTGTGCGATAAAAATGTAGGTCAACAATCTCGTTCAAGAGAAAACGAACATTTATTTCTCCAGGACCCTGGGAAAAAGGTTGAAATCGTGCGCAGTAGAGATGCGCAATTCAATTTAGTGGTTTAAAGACCGAAAACGGATAGTATGGGTGTAGCCGCCTGTTATTTCCTTTGCGTTTTTGCGTGAGGCAAAGAAGACACCTTCACCCAGCCTTAAAATACTTTTCATGATCTAGATAACTGCTCAAACAACTCATTTAAGACGAAAAACTTATATATTATTTTTCTTCACCTTAATCGTTCGACGCGGTCTCCAACCTGAGTTTTTCATTTCACCGAGCACGCGAGCAATTTCCGTAGTGACAGTGGTCCCAGTGGAAGCATCAATAGCACCGTATACCCAGGCATCTCGGTGATTGCCAATCAAGACATATCGATCGGGTTCTTCGCGTCCATAGATTGTTCCAATCGCATTGTAGATCGGTAACACTTGCAATTTGTTATTGACGTCAAGTTCCACAGTTATTTCGCTGTCGTCGAACCCTGGTCCGAGACGGTACGTTATATCAAGAGAACCTTTCCAACCAGCAGGGACCTCGTTTCCTACACAAAACATAACGCAGTTAGTCCAAAAAGCACCTGCCACCGTTACGAGAGCACAATCATAAGAAGCACTGCACCCTTCAACAGCACTTAAATCACGCCAGGAGGTACTTCACGTGTTCGCATCTTGAACTGGGTTGAGCCTAAATTTTTCAAGTTCGTCGTTTGGAATCCGTGTTAATCTTTTCCATGCTTAATCATCCTTGTTCCTTAATGGTTTATTATTATCTCTTTGGTGTTTTTCTATCTTAGGAAGCTGTTATTTTTAGGTTTCCTTCAATAAAAAGGTAATTTTGTGCGTGGTCAAAATTACTCAAAATACTGCTTTTGTAAGGTCGGCAGTCCCAAAAACAACGCAGACAGTTGGAAAATATAGATAGGTACCTTTGATTCTTCTAAGAAAATGAATGGCATCTCCATATCCCATGGGGTGTGCAGGGATAGGAGGCAATTCACTGTCGTTGAACGACCTCCGGAACATCCCGTCAAGTGCTGCTATTCCGGGGGTCTGCGGGTCTCCATTGCCAGGCATAGTGTACAGTGATCCGCGTTGCACTCCACTGGCTGGAAGCCACGCAGTGTTAGGGTACGTGTTCTCCGGTTCTCCCCCCTGCTGGGCGTAATCTGCAGGGTCCGAGTAAAGAATGGCTGCTATAGCTCCGTAGTTGGCTGCGTTTGCAACCTGAAGATAAACAAGAAACAAACTGTTCTAAATAGAGAAAATCTTCGCTAATTATTCAAACTCGTCCTCAGTGTTGTCTCAAGCGGTGAAATTCAAGATGCCTGCAGCTCCCACCATATTGGATTTTAGCATCAGAGAAGGCACTAGGACGAGTCTGCTTTCCATCGGCAACAACAACAGCAACAACGACAACAAAATTCTTTATTTGTACTGTCTCACACTATAATACTTATCGTACAAAGATATCGATGATAAAAATTAGTACTGGCTGCCTGGAATAACCATGGTGGCTAGCGGAGCCAGGCAGCTATAAAATATGTCATGTTTCCAATCTTAATTATATACCTGAACACACTTCCCAAGTCCAGCCCCAGAGTTACCTTATTTCCTCGAAATATTTTCCCATATCTCATGATAGCAATTTTTCCCGTGACATTCACGCTGAGATTCTTGAGCTGCTCAAAGTCCTGCACCTGCCCATAGTTGACGTAAACAAGTTCGCCCGATGCTTTTCCACTTGGACTGTAGCCAAGGAAAGGCTGGACAACGCCCTTGTCCTTCTCGCTTGATCCTCCTTCCTGGAAACGAAAAGAAACGAAACTTTAATTGGTCACGCAAGTGTCCCTGGTTCTGCAATGTCATAACAAGTCACGCAACACTTGTCTCTGTCACACAACGATTCTCCGGGTGTCAAATTTGGATGGAGTCTTTTGGCTAACTGTGCACAAGTCATTCACTCTGCAATGTCATGGCAAATCACACAACGCCTCTCTTTGTCACACAACGATTCTGGGAGTGTCAATTCTGGCAACTGTTCACAAGCCGACTTCATGTAAGTAGTTATGATTTATACCTGCTCCTCCCCTTTGACTTGGTAAATGATGGTACCGTTCTTGTATTTGAGGGTTACTCTTGTTTTCTTGTCCATATCAGGTTTGGACAGGAGTGCTTTATACATTGGCATTTCGACTTTATCAAATCCATATTTTTTCCAGCGCCTGACTAGTTCTTCAGCAAGCTTCTTCTGTCGTGGCGAGCCCGCGATATGTGGTTCCTCGGAGAAATACCTGAGAAAACACGAGAATCGAGAAAAATCGTTTATAACGGACGATCACACAAGCAAAACCTAAACTACAGGAATTGCGCTGCATCGATAATTGTGGGAGCTTTTTCCCATTTTCACTGGCGACAGAGTCGAAGTCACAGCCGTAATCAGAGACGCAGATTGATACGACCTAGTAAAAATCAAACCAGCGGAATCGGAAGCAGAAGCGGACGAAAAAACCAATCACAATGCTCGATTCCAGGCCTTGTTATTGGTTGGTTCTTCCGCTTCTGCTAATGGCTCCGACAATCTAGTTTTCACTAGATCATAAGCGACAAAGTAAACGAAATCGTAAGAAAATTGAAACGTTCTGATTTTTCCGACTCCGATTCCGTCGAGCTTATGATGTCCGCTAACGACTCCGAGTCTTGATTTTCACTAGGTCATAAGCGCTCTTACTGCTGCACTGCGACTACGACTACTACTCCCTCGCCAGCCTTAAAGGGCCACTTATTTACATCTCATGGACTTAAAAACGTGCCTAGAATGACTAGCTCCGTGAACGCGCAAGATGAATCAAATCCTGCGCTGTGATTGGCTACCCGAGCGGGCAAGATAGAGCTATCTTGCCCGCTCGGGACTACCCGCCGTGTCCCGCAAGAAAAATTTCCCCGAAAACTATATTATAAATGCTTTATTGGCCAAGCTTGTTCAGTCAAGATGGCTGGATATTGGCCTCGTACTTTCTTTGCGAGTTTATGGACCTCGACTCCGTCTCGGTTCACAAACACGCAAAAGAAAAGAACTTGTCCTGAACTTGAGCAATATCCAGCCATCTTGACCTGACACCTGGTCAATAACTCATATATAATTTACATCTGTCTTATGCTTCGATCGTTCTTCGAGAGATCTAAAGTGGCCTTGTATTCTGTGGTTGCTCCGCTTTCTTTCGACCCCCAATGCCTACAGATTTTACAATAAATAATTGTCGATGACGTTAAGCTTGTTATAATGCTGAACTTGCCGAGCCCCTGGAAAAAATAATCAAGATTTTTGCATTGATTATGCATGCGTTGTGTTCAGTTACTGAATATCAATTAGCATAATTATGAATTAACTGTCAAGAGTCTGTTTTCATCTAAGAGATCTAACCGCCTGCATTTCAATTCAAGTAACAAATGAAGTATTAGTAAACAGTTAAACCGAAGCAGAATATTTTTGAAAGTCCAGCCAAGCGTTTCACGAACTTACTTGAGGCTTTTTTCAAGCTCTTCTTCGTCGACAGTCGACTGAAACTGCTTGTGAAAATTCATCCTTTCTTCACGGCGCTTTTGCAGTTCTGCCTTCATATCGCGTTCTCTGGGTTCCTTGTCATGTTCTTTGGACCCGGATTTCTTTGCAAAATATCCGATCAAAAAGCCAATCACAAAGACAAGAATCACGAAGACTATCGCTCCAATACAACGAATTCTTCGCTGCGTTTTCCTCTTCTTGTAAGTCAACTGCACATCATCATCCATAGTGTGTTACTGAGATTGATTTCAACTGAGGACTCAAACTCTGCTGTAGAGCTGGCAACAGCGCGTTGGAAAGGCAGTGTCTAGTGACCGTAAACGCCCAGAATTTTAAGTAACTAATTACAATTTGAAGGTAAAAATGCTACCCTTCAATAGGCATTGATTATTATGCAAATGTGCGCGCCTTCGATGTTACCGCCGTCACGTGATCTGTATCTGTTTAAGAGCTACACAGACGTAACAACGGAGACTTCAAAAGGTCGCGATTAGCATAGCCGGGTTAAAAAGAAAGTGGCGTAGCTACAGACCAGTTACAGACCTTTGCGATGACATATTAGCATGTCACTAAGCTCCTAAGACAAACATCCCATTGTTATGTCAACGCATGTGAATGAGTTTGCATAGATAATTAGCTTGTTTCAGGGCTCAGTAACGGCATGAAACTCAAGCGAAAACAGAACAAAACGAAGATGTTTAACTTCCGTTGAAAAAATGTGGGCTCTTGATGTTGTTCTTTAAATCACTTACTGATGAACATGGTTACACAGTGCCTAAATCGCCTTTGCAATATTAGTACATTTACGAATAGAGGTCGCATTTTTAGCGTTCCAGTCAGTCAGCCAGGCTACACATGCGCAATAAAAATTCACGGCATGACGACGCGCATTCCGCAAAATTTAAGATGGCTCCCTAGACATATATATTTTTAAGGCGGGGGTATACACATGAAAATTCTGTAAAAGATAGAATTTTTGTTTTTGCCGGAAAGTTTTTTCGCTTAAAGTTTTATTTTAAGAAACATTTCTGTTACTGTAAGTTCAAAGTTCGTTTTCTCAAAACGAGTTATTTCTACCTTTGAGAAGGATTTGTCGAATTGAGCTGAAATTTTCAAGATTTGTTGTTCTAAGTAAGTTTTGTGTTTTAAGCTTAGAACTTTTCCATCCAGGGTATTTTGTCGAAGTTATGCATTGAAATGTATGCTGGTCTAGGCTGGATTTTTTGTATCAGATTTGACTGGTCACCATTTCACGTGCCTTTTCCTCAGCAGGTGGCAGATTTAATCAGCCGCTGTCAGGTTACAATTGCTGGTTTTCAGTGTCACGCAATTCAAAATAGATCAAAATAAAAATCAAAACCGGTCAATAGATAAAGT